GTCGCGCTGCAAATGCAATACGAGCTGCCCTGGCCGCCCGCTTCATACAGCCTATCCTACACGTGCTTTAGTGGCGCCCTCTTGAGCCGTCGACACGGAGTGCGGCAGCCGTGTGCGCTCGATGAGCTCACTACTCCTCCTCTAGTTCAAGGCCACTCAAGGCAGGACCTACGACGTCATGAAGGAGGTTATTTTTTGCTTGTTTTTGTCATTCTAATTTGCCTATAACTTTTAAAATAAAGCGAAACTTGAGAAAAGAAAAGTTGGATTAAGTTTCTACGTTCAGTACGCTCAGGTTCAGTGCAAATTAAAAACCAGTCAAAAAGTCATTGCAGGGCCCCTTTAAATATGATTGCAGGGCCCCTTTAAGGCGATGGACTAGAAATCTATTGGGGTCTCCCCGCACAAGTTCGAATCCTGTCGACTGCGCAAACATTTTTTTCTTCTTTTTATGTGAGCACGGACGCCGTCCGGACGGACGGACGGACAAGGCTAGACCCTAAAGAGCCTCGCCCCTTAAAATGCCCTCTCCCTCTCACCCCGAATGTCGTCTGCTCCGCCGAGTGGGCTGTACCTAGCATCCGGCTGGCGTGCAAACTATGTTTAAAATCGCGTCATTTTGGAAGTTTCAAGCGCAGATGCGCAGACTTTGGTATGCCATTTATCGTGTAATACTATGCTAGATAAAAAGACTAACAGGGTCCAATTGCGCTGTTACCTGCGTGCAAATAAATTAAAAAAAAATAGGGAAAACTGTCATATAGGCCGGCCCCTTGGGCGAAAAGTAAATCCGGTTGCTGTACCTTTTTTACTATATAAAGGTCGTACTCGTGTCTGAAATAATAAATAAAAACGTGCTTCTGAGGGTAGTACTGTCGGCTGACTCAACTGCTATTTAAGTAACAGAAAAAAGATATACTAGTTGATCATTTACCGAAATAGAACAACAGAGAGCTGTAGACTGATTTTGGAGTAGCCATAACTATTCTAAGAACGCTAACCACTTCACAACCGCAGCCACGACCGAGTGTTCGATGTTCGGTGCAGCCCGCCGGTACAGCCCAAAGATGGAAAATGGCAACCTCCCGGTTTGTCGTCTGCTAGCGGAGTCGGGCGCGTGCCCTCTCTCTCGTTTTACCCCGCCGAACCCGCTGAATTTCCCGGACGTATGGAGACGGCGCTGCTGTCGAACAAAATGGTGCCGCCCAGAGAGCGCTAAATGGGTGGGGGAGGGAGTGCGGCTGGAGTGTGGACATTCGATGTATGTTTTTTGACGTTCTGAAGACAAAGCACGCGAAAATAGAGTAGTCAACATTGCAACGTCAGAGCATCACAAGCAGCTCCTGCCTCCTCCTCCTACTTCACCCCCCCCCCCTCTCCACCAAGTATCGGAGTATCGGACTATGCCAACCAATGAGAACGGACTTTTTTTTCTTTTTGTTTTTCTGACGTCACGAAAGGGGCAGGAGCGTTGGCGCATTGCGGGCGAAACCTCACCTGCTGCTGTCAAATTAAAGAGAGAGAGAGAGGGAGAGAGAGAGAGAGAAATGCATTAACCAATCAGGGACCCCAACGAGCACCTGGTTGTCTGCTCATTGACAATCCGATGACGTGGTCTAATAAAAACGGACTTTTTGCGCCTCTTGATTCGATCGTTCTTATGCCACGATCTGATTGGCTGCTGAACGATAATGAGATGCACGGAGCTAGCCACGCTCTGTGAACGTTTCTTAAGTTGTCACTGGGCATATAGATACCCGAAATCGTAACGTGACTGCACCGCAACTGGCGATGGGAAGAACCGAGAGCTTGCACACAGCGCCGGTAAGGGCTTCGTTTTGTACTTCCGTCGTGGGAGATTCCATTAAAATCAGGTGCAGAAGTTGTATATATTGCACGTCCGCGTCAGGATGGAATTTGATGAAACTTCCGTCCCAGCGGGAAAGCACGATTCAAGTCGATGCGACGAACGCGCGCCCTAACGCAGAAATCACGGCTGGAGAAAAATATACCAAACTCGAACAGGATATTGCGCAAGCCGGTACGATCGCACAAAGAGTAAAATAACATAAAATAAAAAAGGACTAACGTAACAAAGATGCCTGTTTCACGGACGATGTGCTTCATTCTCTGCGCGATAAAGATATGCCGGAAAGAAGCCAAGGAGGTTATAAGTATATAGGGTTCCGTGTTTTCGGTATATACCGATAAATACCGATAATTAACCCCCAAGGCGTTTTTTTTTTTTTTGTAATCGGTAAAAACCGAACAACACCGAGTTCAAGCTGCGTAAAAAATGGCAGCTTTGCTGAAAGAATCTTCTAGCCCGCTTTCTTTTCTCCTTGACCCGGAACACAGCCCCACTGAACTGTCCTTGGGGTGCGGGCAGCAGTCGCTAACCTCGAACACAAGGCTGTACTCTTCGCGAAGTGTAACTTCTTGGCTGAGAACACCCAACCGATAATCACAGGCATGAAATCTTTGGAGCCTGAGGAAGTACTAGTCTGCCACATGTATTCAATCGTGGTTAGTCTGGAGTCCACTCTTGCTAGCCAATGCCTTCCTGAACGGCACGCGTACGTCATCTCCATGATAGCTCAGGGATTAACCTAGCACGCAGCCGTATAATGACTACTTTAAATAACGCAAGAACCACCCCGTCGAATCTAAATAAGCACGAACAAGCGGAACTACGGGACCTTAAATCCGACCATTCAATCCTTGTCCTTTCTGCAGATAAAGGAAAGGGCACTGTTGTCATTGATAAAGAGGCTTATTTTCAAAAAATGGATGCCATCCTCCAGGACACTGCGCATTTTGTAAAGTTAGCACAGGATCCGACTAAAAAATCTGAAAGGGCTCTGGTTGACCACCTACGTGATCTAAAAAAGAAGAACCGCTTAAATGACACAATTTACCGCCGCCTTTTTTCTTCCGATGGTTGTACTCCAAAACTTTACGGCCTCCCCAAAACTCACAAACCCGATTGTCCTCTACGACCGATTGTGTCGTTTGTTGGTTCCCCCACGTACAACCTATCTAAATATCTAGTAGAGCTGCTTTCTCCCATAACAGGGAATATCAACTTTACAGTTATAAACTCTCGAGAATTTGTTGACCTAATTCGAGGTCATGTTCTGGACAAGGGAGGTGTAATGGTCTCGTTTGATGTCATATCTTTGTTCACTAATGTTCCGACCACTCTTGCAGTGGAAGTTGCCGAAACACGCCTACGTAATGACTCCACACTTTCGTCACGGACATCTCTGACAGTTGAGGATATTATTATTCTTTTGCGTTTTTGTCTAAATCAGTCGCATTTCACCTTCCGTGGACAATTCTATCGTCAGATTGAAGGTTGCCCAATGCGTAGTCCGGTATCTGTGACCTTGGCGAATCTGGTAATGGAACACATAGAGCAGACCGCGTCAGAAGTAAAAGCATGCCCTGTCAAATTCTATCGACGTTACGTAGATGACACTTTCGTTATTTTAAATGAGAATCACGTCGATGACTTCCATGCAACCCTAAACAGCATTGAACCTTCCATACAGTTCACGCGAGAAGTTGAACAAAATAGCACGTTACCTTTTTTGGACGTAACTGTTTGCCGAAGTGACACCGGTCAGATTGAAACCACCGTGTATCGTAAACGTTGTGATACCGGCAATTTTTTGAGTTTCAATTCTCACCACCCTGTAGAACATAAGCGAGCCGTTGTAAAAAACTTTAATTAGCCGATCAGAACATTTGCCTTCAAATTCAGATTTACGAGCATCGGAAGTTCAGACTGTTATCGGATCCCTTTTGAGGCGCGGGTATTCACAAGGTTTTATTGAAAACACACGTAAACAGATGCAGCAGGGAAGAACAAAAGCGACTAATAATTACAAAGCAGGCGTGGTGACTATCCCTTATGTAAAAGGCGTCTCAGAATCTATTCGCCGGTCCCTCCTGCCACTAGGTATACGAACAACTTTCAAACCCCATATAAAATTACGTGACCTCATTTCGAAGTCAAAAGATCCAACCCCTCCTGAATATCGAAGTGGTGTTGTATACAAAGTGAACTGTCAGGACTGTGACAAGTGTTACATCGGAGAAACTGGCCGCAAACGGAGTACCCGCCTCAAAGAGCACAAAAGAGACGTGGAGAAGGCAACACATGCCACAAGATCAAAAACTGAACTGGTGGACCATTGTTGGACGACTGGTCACACTTTTGACCTGGCGAACGCTGTGACCCTGGCACGCGAACAACGGTGGGGCCCCAGAAGATTTCTGGAATCATGGTGTATTCGCAGTGACCCATCCGCCTGCAATTCTAACCGCGGCCCCCTCCCCGACCTATACACCGACATCCTGAAATAACTTGTCATTTAACTTACCGTCCAGGACGGACGTAAAAAGAAGTTGAAGCGAGGGCAGACGATGATAATGTCTCCCGTATGCCACGGACGAAGAAGTCGGCAGAACCAGCGCTACGGATGAAGAGAAGGAAGAAGAAGCGTTGCATTTCTGGTAGCTAGTCGGGTGTTCCCAGGCCGCACTGATGATGTCTCCCGTATAGGAGACGAAACGTCTGAGAAATGTTGATATTGTTATGCAAGTCGGAGGTATTTGTTTTTAATCATGAATCCCGGCTTTTGGAACATTTTTGTAAGGTCTACTACAGGAAAAATTCCGCCTTCAAACTGCTAGAGAAAAATGATATCTTCAACTCAATACAAACGCACCTTTTCTTTTCTTTTTTTCCCCTGGCATTACAAATTAGGATTTTAGTCAAGTTACCATTGGCCTGTGGACGCATGTAAACGGCGTCCGATGTTGGGCAGGAGGGAGCTACTGGGCATGCACAGAATCCGTTCCACAGCCCTGAAAACAAAGATGGCGACGCACGAAGGCGCCTATTGGAATGGCCCATAGCCACATACGTATGCAGTTGCTTAGAGTGAGCTCAGTGGTGTCTCGCGCATGCCACTGTACTTTATTTTGCCAGGAGATGCATCTGCTGGTCCACCGCTCTCATGTGCGGCGGAGCTTCGCTCGTTGTGGGCAGAGCCTCTTCCCTCGATCTTACGTTGCAAGAGACCGTAAGAGCTAGTTCAAGACGAAGGCGCTAGTCGGAGAGAACCCTGTAGCGTTTTGGAGAACGACGACGGCGTCTTGCTGTTCGTCGGAGCGGGTGCCGTGTCCTTCTTCGTTGTGAGCCGGTACTTCCCCTTCATGTCCCTCTGGATGCTGGTCGTCGGAGCGGGTGCCGTGGCCTTCTTCGTTGTGAGCCGGTACTTCCTCTTCATGTCCCTCTGGATGCCGGTCGTCGGAGCGGGTGCTGCGGCCTTCTTCGTTGTGAGCCGGTACTTCCTCTTCATGTCCCTCTGGATGCCGGTCGTCGGAACGGGTGCTGCGGCCTTCTTCGTTGTGAGCCGGTACTTTCTCTTCATGTCCCTCTGGAAGACGACGAAGCGCTTTCGGTTCAGGTCATTCTGGCGGTCCTTCCAGACGCCCATGCTGAGCTTGTTCCGCATGCCGCGATGCACGGCGAAGGCTTCGTCCAGCACCCAGAACTCGAACCCGGCCAGGTGGGTCTCGTACACCTGGCCATACATGGAACTTTTTTTTTTCATCGCATACAATATGATTAATGCTGACCGAGGAACGCACAATACTTATGTGCAAGCACAGAATGTTTTTCCGTATACAGTTCCAAACGAACGCCCTCCCGCGGTGGAGAGATAGAGAGGAAAAATATAGGTGGGCGATCTCTTGGGAGTGGGCGTTCATTCGGTATTTTACGGGCACGGGTTCCCCTTCCTGATCTTAACGGAAAAAAAACGAACAACGATGCTCATGAACTCTTGTTAGTTTGTATAAAATGGTGCTGACTGTCGTACTGTGTTAAGCACCAACAGCTAGCAACTTGCAGCAGTTAAAGGATCTGCAAACGAAAAATTTACGTCGTACCCCTCCTTTCAGCCTCTCTTTGTCTGGCTGCACGACGCCATTTTTGAGTAAAAGCGGCAGCGAGGGGAAGCATTTCGAACAATGAATCGCACAACTTTTATATAGTATATCTACAGGGGCTTTAGCAGCAACCACAATTCGTTAAACAACAACAACATCGATGGTATAAAGGAAGGCCGCGAGGCATTCTTTTGCGTGCGCTTATTCTATTTGCAACTCTATCGGCAAGCACTTTAAGCTGTCCACTTGGGTAGGCAGCTCTCCGCCTCTCTTTCGCGTCTTCTCTGCTGGGTGGCGTCGCCCCCTGTGGAGTTGCGAATAGGCAGGCAAAGCTTTCAGGGGTAATCAACAGATATCGCCAGTATTCCTGCCAGTCAGTGGACGCTCACTTGACATTACCCATCCGTACAACGACTATACTAGAGTTAGAGACAGTGGGGTACCAACTTGTTTTTGAGCGGGCGAGCAAACCAGCCCCCCCCCCCCTCCCCCGGCCAGGGCCAGGGGGTGGTACCCTTGGTATCCCTTGGGCACCACCGGCCAGCGTTTGCCCTGCCCAGTGGCGGCTGTTTCAGGGGGGGGGCAAAACACATGCTTCGCCCCCCCCCCCAACTCGATGAACTAAGGGGGGGGGGGGGCAGGCGCCCCCCTTGCCCCCCCCCTCCCTCGGTTGGTATGCCCATGGTTAGAGAGATGGTTTTCGAAATAATTGATGCCTGAAACATCCGTGGGAGTCGGGATGACCTTGCAGACGTACGAACGGATGGAGAGATGGTCACTCCATAATATAAGCTGCGTTTTAAGTATCGATACGCCAATTGGTCGCCGCGATTTTGGTGCTTAGGTTTCAATTTAAAAATGAACCTTCCTGAGCATTAGGTATTCAATGTCGGGAACCTCAGGCAATGTCGTTTTCTCCGTCGAAGCCTGCTTTAACATTGCTGAGGGACATTAAAGCGCTTCCTGCAATTTCAGATATAGCTTCAGATAACTGGAAACAATGATTTCAACCAAGAAGATGGCGAAAGTGCCGTTCCTCTGAAGCAGTTAGTGGTTCGAGGCTACTCCATTGATCGGTTAGCAGAAGATGAAATCAACAGATAAAGAGGCGGGTTGTTTGATGAACTGCGCGGTGGATAAACGGTGGAGGAATATATATGGATGCCTGACAAACTGCATCAGAGGTCATTTGTCATCCAAGTGCTCGAGCGGAGACGTGCACTGGAGTGATGGATGAACAAGCGCAATAAGCTATGGTTGGTGACATTAGGAGTGAAGTGGGCGCTCCTCCCACTTCTTTCCACTTTAGCAAAGCGAACGCTGTAGAGGCGACCTCCTCTCCAGCGTTCGCTCTGCTAAAGTGGGAAGAGGTGGGAGGAGCTTCCACGTATAAATGACTGATGACACAGGTATATGAATGAATGGGCTCACCTTGCATGCACCGACGAACAGAGGAAACGATACACTGGGTCAGCGAATTCAGCCGAACACTCCGGCTGAGACCCTCAATCGATTCGGTGCGGAAAGTTCGCCACAATAAATAAATGCATGAATACGAACCAAGTTAGTAACTCCGTAATTTAATTTTCGTCAACAAAAATATGAGTAGGTGTGTTTCAGGATGCATGCAGGGACCACGTGACAATTAAGAATATGTGGGTTTGTGTGCCAAACCAACGGGGAGCATCAGGGGTATATTACAATAGAAAGTTTTAGTAGATCACCCTGATAAGTTCGATAACGGTACCCGATATTCCGCCGAAGCCTTTGCACATGCATCGTTTCGCTATCAGGTGCCGTTATCGGAGCTGTCGGAACGATCTACTAAAGCTCCCAAATGGCATTCAGCAACAGGTGGACAGAGGGAAGTGTAATTTCAATTGAAGATGTCCTCGGAGTTTACATCTTACTTCTGACCACGTGGGACTGCTGTCATCTGTCATCTTGGCATAACAACCTGTGGCTTAATGAGAACTCAAAACGTCCATCCGGAACATTCAGGAAAGATCAATAATACCTAAAACAACGAGAGAAAAAAAAATTAAAAAAGTGTAAGCATGCAATTCCTAACAAACTGACCTGAGTGTTCCTGGTGAACCCGTAGCCGACGAACCTCTCGTCATAGCGCGGCACGACTTTGGCAGCCACATAGAAAGGTTCGTAGAAGAACTCGTACCTCTTCACGCTGTACGCGGCACGCAGTCCGTCGCCGTGCTGCTTTAGGCCTTCCCATATGCCGTGGTTCGTGGCGTATTGGTTGGGGATGAAAGACTTCTGGTGGAAAGGCCTCGCCTCCTTCCGCCGGACAAGGTGCAAAAGCTCCCGTTTCGTCCTGGGCACCGGGGCAGTCTCCGACATCTCGTAAGTTGGCACCACAAACACGCACTTTGTACACGGAAGGGTCCGCCTGAAGAAGTGGGACAGTTCCTCCCAGAGTCCCGGCTTCGGCATGATGTCGATGTCTGTGAGAAAGAAGTACCTCTGGGCGCAGCCGTCCCTGGCCACGTTCCGGAGATGGTTCTGAGGGTAGAGCATCTGTTTCGCACTTCCCTTGACAACTTTCGTCTTGCCGACGTTCTGTAGAACCTTCAGGAGAACTGCGTGGGTGCCGCAAGAAAAATCGGAGCCGAGTTCGTCCGACCACACGGTCTTCCTGGTCAGGTTCTCGTCAGCCGGATACACCAGATCCACTCGCATGTTGGTCTTGATGGCTTCCGAACAGAAACGGATGAGGGAAAGGTACAGCTTGACGGCTTGGAACTGCGTCGAGTTGGCTACGAAGACCGCCAGGGACACCGGCCCGTTCCAGAGCTGGACAAGGTCGACAAGCCAGGAGAGGCGGTCTAGGGAGCCCTGCGTCGCGAGACAGACGTCTCCGCCACCGTCTTGAGGTCCTAGTTTCGCTTGGGGCGACAGGAACCTACGAGCAATCTTGTACTTGCGGCTGGAATCAAGCGACTGCTTGTCGACGTCGAACTTGAAGGGTGCCCTGCTGGCTAGGACGTCTAGGATGTGGACGCGGTCTTCGGTTGCGCCCAAGAGGACGTCGCCCGATTGTCCGTACCTCCAGCGGTGGTTTGGTGCGGTCGTTTGGTTCGGGTGCTTGCCCGACGGACTGTTCTGCGCCGAGTGCTCTAGGCGGTTGAAGATCAGGAGGCCGAAGAGGTTGCAGGTGAACAGGACGCCGATGACGAGGAAGACCGGAGTTCGCCTCAGGACGTTTCGGCTTCCCAGTTGGTGTGGCCTTGGCATCATTGGCTACAAACACCTGGCCATAAAGATGACAACGAAATACAACATCATGAAGTGGAAGTGACCTGCCTGATCTTAACACGATGTGTAGTTTCCTGTTCTTAACGTGATGTGGAAGCTTTCTGACCGCACTTAACATGAAGTGGCGGTTGTCTGCATATCCTTAACTTGACCTGGTAGCTTCCTGCCTGTTCTTAACATGATGGAATCGAAAACGGATGGGCACACACTAAAGAAGCAGATGGCGGACATGCGCTTTCTTTCTGGTTTATAATTCGTAAACGTCTCGCTAGCCACAACTTTTCTACATCGATGGCATCGGAATGTTTTGCGGAGGGAGAAAGGGGTATTGCCCTCTTCCCCCCGAGTGGATATAAAAATGCCGGAGGCCGAATGTAATAAACCACGCCCTGCGTCTCTTAGACTGTCAACCCCCCCCCCCCCTTTCCCCTTTTGTTCTGACGCCACGGTTCTGCATCTCTGAAACTTTTATGGCAGGCAAAATTTTGTAACTTGCGCTTAGTAGCCACGGGGACGCAACATTCCCTGGTATTAGGCATCCACAAAATATGTTTTAACTAAAAATAAATCTTTCTAGAATTACTTTTTGCCGACCACCGGGTTGACAATCCGAGACAATCCGACTCACGGCATAGAGCGACGACATTAGAACAGGAAAGCTCGCCCCCCGTCCCGTTTTTTTTCGATAAACAGGCGCTCTGATTAGCTCGCGGAAGTCATGTGAGTGTCGGCGGCGCGTGTCACCGAAGTCGGGACAGAGTTGCTTAGACCTTTTTCGCAAAACTTCGAGCCATCACATGTAGCTGAAGTACCCTCGACGTGAAAACCTATGTTGCGCTTTTTAGACTCCCACGGCGACTAGGGAGAAGGAAGTGACAACAACGCAAAAAACGCAGATTGGATGTTTCTTCTGCGGAAATTCGTCATAAGCGACTCTCACTAATCAACATCCAATCTGCGTTTGCTGCGTTGTTGACGTCACTTCCTTCTCCATAGTCGCCGTGGGAGTCCAAAAAGCGCAACACAGGGGTGCTATGTTGCGCTTTTTGGACTCCCAGGAGACTAGGAAGAGGGAAGTGACGTCAACGACACAGCAAACGCAGATTGGATGTTGACAGAGGAAAACGAAATCAACACCCGATCTGCGTTCGCTGTGTCGTTGACGTCACTTCCCTCTCCCTAGTCTCCTGGGAGTGCAAAAAGCGCAACATAGCAGGATCACTAGGTTGGACATTTGAGAAAAGGTACATGGAAGTGACGTAATGCAAAGGAGGAGCGTATCCTAGCAACACTCACGTGGCGGCTCTGCCCACTTTGGCGCCGCTACGTCATCGCAAACTTGACACCCGTCACCCGTTTCAGCGACGTCCGAAGCCAACCACCGACGAGCGGAAGTAGCTACGCATTCCCTGAGGCGTCCCTACGCGCGGGATACGGGGTAGGATTTACTACGACGCGGGGAGCAGTTCCTGCGTTTAGCGAAATAACGGCAACCAATCCTGTGCGTCGCTGGCCGTCGCATCTGTTCTAGTACAGGTAAAAGTATTGAAAAACAATCAAAACCTTTTGGGCGTTGTTAAAACAAACCGCTTTTTTGTACCCTTTTGCAATACATTTAAGAATTAATTGGAGAGAAAGTTGTTCCAATATTATGCGGGATGTGCGCTACGCGCCTTCTTCAAACCAAAATGTCGAACCACGAGGAGCCGGGTGTGCCGGGGGCAGCGGAGGGGTCGGCGGAACCAACGAGGAGCGCGCGAGTGACGGCTGCTTTAGTCAGAAACAATTTTTTTTATCTTTCGAGTACTTGCTATTGCTGTGCTCAAATAAGAGTGTTTGGAGCAACATCTGTGATAATTCTTTCAAAGTGGTCCAGTGTTTATATGGTGGTATGCTAGTCAGAGAATATATATATTTTTTTTTTTCCTTTAGAAATTTAACTATTGTGCTCAAATAAGACCAGAGTGTTCAACAAGATATCTGTGATATATACTTAAGATTGCCCAATTGCTTACATGGTTCCAGTCGATGCTCAGTTTTACTTCCAAGAATGAAATATTACATTCCATGTTATCACACTTTTATTCATGAAGTCACAGGTTTTTCTTTAAGAAATAAAGCAATTTTCAAAACAAACTACATGTGCACTGTCTTGAGATAACACAATCACCTAACTTTGATGTAGTACCATAAAAGAGATAATAAAATGGAGCAGAAGGCAAGACGCTTTGAAGTATTTGTGAAATGAAACAATGTCCATGACAACAATATCCCTGGTTCAATCAGCAACTAAGAAAGCAATCTCTGCAAAAGCAAGCATTTCTTTCTAGAGGTAGTCTAAATTACTTCTGAGTTCTTTGCAGGGGCAATCCAGATGACCTGTTGGTCTGGCAATTAAACCTCCGAACCTTTTCTGTCACTGTCGACTGCGTCTCGTGCCTTCTGCTCATAAAAATAAAAAAAAAGGCTGTATCAATTTCACCGCGATGCACTCGACACGTATCCGGAGGCAGCACGCTGGCTGTGCGACGAACTTCACAAGGTGTAGGAGCTGAAGAGAGTATGTAGCTTGTGGACGGCCATGACTGTGGAGCAGGAAGCGAAGTGTGCACTTTACGGCTTCCACGGGGAGGGCTTCACTGAGGGCAAGGATGTGACGGGGTCCTTGGTGGTCAGGACCTGAGTCGTGGTGGCGAGAGGTTCCCTGTCGCTGGCGGCGTCCGTGCTGGGCACCACCGCAGCGAGGGCGCTGAGGGGCTTCCCGACGGTGTCCCTGGTGGTCGGGACTACCGTCGTGGCGGCGGACCCCTTGCGTGTGGCGCTCCGCACGGACACGTCTGCGGCGGGTTCCGAACCGGGCGACAAGGCGCTGCCTCAGAGCCTTCCCCCTGTCCGAGAGGCCGACCGGAAGGCCGACCGGAGGGCCGGCAGGAGCCAGCCTCTCGGGAGCCGACGCTGACCTCTCCGAGCTCGGCTCAGAACCGTCCGAGCTCGGCTCAGACTCCAACTCTGACTCTTCAGGGTCGGAGTCTGACTCCGGTTCTGGCTCGCTCGATGCAAGGCAGATGTTGTGGAGCACTGCACATGCCGAAATAATGGCGGTGGCTGTTGAAGGGTGGTAATACAGAGCCCGGTGCCTTTACAGACACCGGAATCTGTTTTTCAACAGCCCGATGCAGCGCTCCACAACAGAACTGATCGAGGAATGCGCCTTATTAAACCGGCCGCAAGCGGTGGAGGTCGCGTGGTTCCCGGGGACGGGGGTGATGAGCCAAGGCTCCAAGGGGTAGCCGCTGTCACCTGCACATGTAGAGGATGGAACATATTACATTCTTTACTTTTTAAAATAAAAGGCAAGAAAACAGCTGTGTGCAACTATGTCAATTATAATGTAACTTAAGTGTGTTAATATTTCTGCACTACAGTATCAGTTTACATTATGATTAATTAGCACCAGCTTGCCTGCAAACTCAATGTTATTTCATGTAACTATGTGTTTTCCTGGTGGGTTGTATGGGATGTGTGCACGATTCCTTAGGGGTGCTGTGTTGTATGCAAGTGCATTATTAGGCCCTTGAATCCGACAGATAAAAGCTCTGTTGCTTTTGGGAGTGCGGCCGTGATCTTAGGCACGGGCAGAGCAGAACACGCTGGCCTTGTCTTTGGCAAGCAAGGGGATAAGGCGCCGGTTCGACGAACCTCTTTCCTAATCCTCAGTGGAGTTGGAGATGGAGAAAAAAAAGGGGGTGGTTAGATTGGAAAGGAGTCAGGTCCTGTTGGGACACGGAGGGTCTAATAGGAGGAGCTATATAGGCAGACCGAAGAAGAAGGGTCAAGGAAAAGAATCCAGTGTGTGGGACAGAGACGACCCGACGACAGATTTGGCGAGCCCCAAGTGGCCAAGGAGGAATTGATCCCATTCCGTACAAACTGACGACCGTCAAAGCGACCAGGCGAGCCCCCAGGGATCAGCGAAAGAGCTCCAACTTCATGCAAAAACCAACCAGCAAGAGGGTACAGGCAGACAGTAACAGTGAGTGGGCCGAACCGGACAGCGACTCGCACTGCGGTCGCATTCTTTGCATATTCTATCACTGTCGTGAGATTGGTGTAGTGTGGCTTTCGTAGCCTGCAGAGTGTGAGAGTTATGTGGACATAAACAGAGATTAATGGCCAAACTTTGGGTGTTGTCTCACTTCAAGGAGTTCCAGCAACTGTGTCTGTGTGCCTCACAACAAGCACAGTACGTGTGGTACTGTGGCTTTCAAGCAGTGGGAGCCACCGTGTGCGTAAGGAATGAATTAATATGCTCACCAAGCAGGAACCGGCCGTCGCGTGGCACCTGCCCTTGCTCGAGTTGGTTTCGGAGCCAGGAAAATTGCCACACGAAGGAGTCGTGCACCGACCCGGGATACCGTGGGTCGATGCACATTATCCGGCAGTCGGCGTCACACACCTGAAAGTGAGAGAGATATTGACATGTAATTACCTGAATCCACAAGTAGTAGATTGTACTTATGGTTCACAAAGCAGTCGCAATTTCAGAACCTTTTAAGTTATTTTGTCTGACACATGCATGTCAACACACCTTCCTGGATGCAAGGTACAACTAACTACCTTGAAACAAAAATAATGTTTTTTTTTTTTTTTTACGGAAGCTTGCACGTTTTAACAGACAAATATTATTTTTGGGAGAAGAGTCTCACGGTTCACATGCTACGTAGAGCACACGCTCGCGCAGTCGTGAGACCCCACAGCCCGCAGTCATAAAACGGCATACTTAAACGGTATCGGCAATACGTGTTTGTTTTTTTTCTACAGATTTGGGGCGCGTTTTGACAACGTAACATGAGTGTACTTACCACCATCACGTTGAGGGCGTAGAAGTACTTGCGGCACCAGTACGCCGCCTTCGTGACGGTGGGGTCGTTCTTGGACGGGCCGACGATGGAGACCATGGTCCCGTCCACGCAACCGATGACGCCGGGTATCCTGCCGAGCAGCCTGAAGCCCTTCTCCGCGTCGAACCTCTCGCTCGGCGTCTCGGGGAAGTGGATCCAGCCACGCTGGACCCCGAGACGACGCACGATAGCGACGGACACGGCGCGGACCGCAACGCTGA